GATTTGGGAGTAATACAGTTCAAGACAAATATTCCAGAATCCCATCAAAAGAATAATTTCTTATTTTTTAGGTTGGAAGTTTTCCCTTCCTAGGAGAACTGCCCACATTGTCCCTCACCTCCCTCTCTCTGGGATGTGTAGACAAGGGTTAACCAAGCTCTTCCTGCTATAAGAAAATCTGTTCAGAACAGCACTGTCCATCAAAAACATAGTGCCAGTTATGGGCACAATTTTCAGTGTTTCAGAAGCCACAGGAAGAAAAGTAAAAAGAAACAGGTGAAACTGTCTTAGTATATTTAACTCAATATATCCAAAATATTATCAAGTCAATATGTTGTCAATTAAAAAAACTGTTATTGAGCTATTTTACTTTTTTGGTATGTCTTTGAAATCCAGAGTGTTTTACACTTATAGCAAGTGTCGATTTTGACAAGCCACACGAAAGTGCTCAAAGGCCTCACATGGCTAGTGGCTACTAGACCGAACAGTGCAGATCTGGAACATATTACTTTTTGGTCATGAAAAAAAAAGCAACGAATCAGTGAAGTGGCAAATTTAATAATGTATCTAAATGATGCACTGCCATCTATAATTTCAAACATAATTTAAAATCGAACATTTTTCAAATGTACCACTCAACTATTAAAATAATTTGTTGGACAGTTTTAAAATACCAAATATCCTTTTCACTCAGAATGGTTACATAATGTTTTCCCTCCTGTGGGTATAAGAACAAGAAAGGAAAGCTTCAATGTGAAAGTCAGCTTTTATTTTTTTCACTTTCAACAAAATGATTAAACTACTTTAAAAATATAGTTATTATTTTTAAAGTTAATTAATTAGTTTTTGGCCGTGGGTGTTTGTTGTTGCTGCAGGCTTTCTCCAGTTGCTGCAAGCAGGGGCTGCTCTTCCTTGCGATGCACAGGTTTCTCACTATAGTGGGGTGTCTTGTTATGGAGCAAAAGCTCTAGGGCTTACTATCCTCAGTAGCTGCAGCTCCTGGACCCCAGCGCATGGGCTCAGTAGTGGCACACAGGCTTAGCTGCTCCACAGCACGCGGGATATTCCCAGCCCAGGGATGGAACCTGTGTCCTCTGCATTGACAGACAAATTCTTATCCGTACCAGCAGGGAAGGCCTGTTTATTTTTATTTGTTTGGCTGTGCTGAGTCTCAGTCTTGGCATGCAAGATCTTTAGTTGTAGCATGTGGGCTCTAGTTCCCTGACCAGGAACGTAACCCAGGTCTCCTGCATTGGGAGCATGGAGTCTTAGCCACTGGACCACCAGGGAAGTCTCTGAAGCTATTTTTTGAAACCCAAACCTGGGGAACCATTTGCCCACTGCCTAAGAATCTCATAGACACAAAACTCAAAAACACTAAGGGCGAAGTCTAAGAGGTTGGTGTCTGAGGAACATTTGCTGCTTTGTAGCCTAAACACAGAAGTCAAGGTGAAAATTTATAAGCCATTTATATTAGTTTTGTAAATACTATAATAATATTTTAGTTATATTGATGATGCTATTATGGATCTTACATTTCTCCATAAAGATCGACAGGATGCTGCAAATTTTCTTTCATTGAGATGGTTTCCTCTATTCTTAAGTAATGAAATACAAATGGAACGAAGATATTCAAAATAAAATAACTCAAACAATCCAGGAAATACACATTTTTTAAATTCTATTTTTCATTTCATCTACAATTTTACATTCAGAATTGGGTGAATTGTATATGAATAACGTGGTATTACTTCTGATTGGAAAAACTTTTATATTTAGTATAATTTAACTTTTATATTTTGTGAGTTGTGTAAACTTAACTTTCCTAAAACTTTAATATGTCTGAACCCTGTCTGTATTGTGGCGCAGGGCTTAGCTGCTCTGTGGCGTGTGGAATGATTTTTGCTGCCTCACGTTGCTCTGTGCAGATGACTGTATTTTTAGTGAATTCTTCGAACTTGGAATAGTGAAATAAAATAAGAAATTATTTAGCATGCTTGTTTACTGAGGACACTTTGGTAGCTGCTTCCTCCACCCCAACCCCAGTCCTTTACTTTGGGTACAAAGTCAGGTCAGCATCAGATTCTTCTCCCATAGTTATTCCACAGGTGGGATCCCTGGGTTAAATATGGTCTCCCACTATCTCAGTTGGCTTTAAATAACCAACATCTAAATACCAGAAAGGTCAGTCTAAAAACCAAATGTCATCTGCTTATCTTTGCTGCCATGTTAGCATGGCTCCTTTTTTTTAAAAGATGTTCTCTAGATACTGGCTATTTCATGGATTTGCTTTCTTTGTCACTATTCATTCTTACGCTTGTTACTTCCTAGAGTTAAAGATTTTTTATTTTCGCTAAAAATTTCCCCTCAAAAAAAAGAGAAGGACATCCTACTCTCCCTTTAGGAGTTTCTTCACCTTCCACTCAGATCTACTTGCATAAATCCCACATTCAGGGAGACAATAAGGTGTAAATGTCTATCATAAAAGATAGCAAGTGCTTCTTTCCTTTTGAAGGTCTTTCCTCCCTCCCTCCCTTTTCTTTTTAAAAATTTATTCTTTATTTTTTTCCAGTTTTATTGACATATAATTGACATATATTGCTGTTGTTCAGTTGCCCAGTCGCATCCAACTCTTTGCAACCCCACAAACTGCAGCACACATATAATCCTGTATAATTTTATTTATTTGTGTATGTATTTATTCGACTGTGCCGGGTCTTTGCTGTGGCATGCAGGATCTTCAGTCTTCATTGTGGTATGCCTAATTTCTAGTTGCCGCCTGTGCGATCTAGTTTCCTGACCAGAGATAGAATCTGGGCCCCCTGGGCTTGGAATCTTAGCCACTGGACCACCAGGGAAGTCCCTAACATTGTATAATTTTAAGATGTACTAAGTAACAATTTGATATATGTCTACAGTGTATCTTTCTTTTTCTAGACTCCATTCAAGTTAAATGCCACTGGATCCAATAATGTCCAAGCAGCCCTAGCAAATGTTTGGACTCAAAAAGTTACCACGTGGAAACAGCAACAGTTATAACCTATCTATACATTTACAATTCTGCCCATTCAACTAACATCTTTGTATACACACATAGCCTTGTTGTGCCCTCCGAGAGTCAATGATCTGCGTCTTCAAACTTGCCCTCTCTCTCCAGCAAGAAGTAGTGTATGCTATGAGTGAAGCTTTTTTCTGTTTTTCCTCTTTCGAACATTCCTTTTGAAGGATGTTTATCTTATTTTTTCTCCACCATTGTATATTTAGGCGCATTGAGGAAATTTANTATGAGTGGAGCCTTTTTCTGTTTTTCCTCTTTCGAACATTCCTTTTGAAGGATGTTTATCTTATTTTTTCTCCACCATTGTATATTTAGGCGCATTGAGGAAATTTAGATTTATTGTTTAAGTTATAAGGTAACAAGGCACCCTCATCCATCCTGATCATGAATTGACATAAAGATCCTGGAGCTGGGACAGGGATATGGGTGGCTACATAGTGGTTTGTTGTTCAGTCATTAAGTCGTCTCCGACTCTCTGCAACCCCATGGACTTCACCGCACCAGGCCTCCCTGTCCTCCACTATCTCCCAGAGTTTGCTCAAACTCACGTCCATTGAGTCGGTGATGCTATCTAACCACCTCATCCTCTGCCGCCCCTTCTCCTTTTTTCTCCAGTCTTTCCCAGCATCAGGGTCTTTTCCAATGAGTCAACTCTTCACATCAGGTGGCCAAAGCACTGGAGCTTCAGCTTCTGCAACAGTCCTTCCAGTGAAGATTCCAGTTGATCATTAGTGGCTCGATAAGGGCATTTTTGGAATTGTATGTATGGGAAGAAGACTACGTGTATTAGCATAGTGGTGGGAGAGGCAGCAAAGAATATAGTGAACAATATTTTTCTTTCAACTTTTTTCTATTCTTCTGGAAATAGCACTCATGTTATAGGTCTACTTTCTACCTATGAGGCCCATGGACACGTAAGGATGTGAGCCTGAAGCCCATAGTATTTCTCATGGTGGCAAATAACTTGAGAAAATAAACCCAGACAAGAGAAGTAGAGAAGAAAGATGGAGAGGGAGCATCCTGAAAGTGAGAGGTTTTGTTCCTGTTGTCCTTCCCTGTCCTATGGTTTGCATATGTGAGCCAATAAATTAATTGCCATATTTGGCTAAACTGGTTCAAGTTAGTTTCTGTCATGTGTCACTGGGAGCCCAGCTAATTCAATGGATGAAGTGAAAAGTTCTTTCTTCTTTTATCTTTTTTTACCAAAGCTACAAGGATAGTTCTACAACCTTCACCTCTAATTCACTCTCAGCACAAGCTATTCATACCATACTGAGAATGATCTTCGAATTTCATGGAGGCTAGAAATAAGACATGGATTTATCCTCTTAGTGTTTTAAAAGTTTTAAAATGGTCATGTGTTATTTTTGTAATAAGATAAATGGTTAACTTTATTCTAAAAAATTAAATCTTCAGATAAGAAAGGATAAAATCCGTATTTCTGTTTGAGGACCCCTAATTTCTGGATAAGTGTTACAGTAAAGCAATCTCCATTTTAAAGTATTTTCCCAAATTTTGCTCAAAATTGTTAACACAGCAAGGAAGTTCCCTTGTCATTTATTTCGGCTCTCATAGTGACGGTGGTCTGCCTGGTTTTGTAGGCAAAATGCTCTATGGTTTTACTTAAAAGTGTTGTAGGAAGGGGGACCCCTTCCAGGGCTTGAAACTGGGCTCTTGACTAACACTCGGAAATGAATTGTCCGAGGAGACACATGTGCTGACAAAAGAAGAGATTTTATTGGGAAAGGGCACTGGGGTGGAGAGCAGGAGGGTGAGGGAACCCAGGAGAACTGCTCTGCTGCATGGCTCATGGTTTCGGGTTTTATGGTGATGGGATTAGTTTCCGGGTGGCCTTTGGCCAATCAATCTAATTCAGAGTCTTTCCTGGTGGTGCACGCCAAGATGGATGGATGCTAGCGAGAGGGATTCTGGGAAGTGGACGGACGCGTGGTGTCTTCTTTCGACCTTTCCTGAACTCTTCCTGTTGGTGGTGACTTACTAGTTCCCTATTCCTTATCAGGAACTCCTATCATAAAACAACTCATGCGAATGGTTACTATGGTGCCTGGCCAGGGTGGGTGGTTTCAATCAGTGTGCTTCCCCTAACAAAAGTACTTAAAAATGTTTAGCTCTTATTTTCCCTTTGCTTAAAATTTTGTTTAAAGATTCATAATTTTGTAAATAAGCTACCTTTATCTTACTACTACTACTAATGTAAACCAGGTGGGATTGGGGCCTCCCCATCCTTGGTGCTAGCACCCTCATAATTTATAGACTGTGAGAGTCTAGATTCTGCCCAGAGATTTCTGTGAATCCCAGGAAGCTCTTGCTTCCTCAGGGTTCTTTGGGTTTCTACTTTAGGCAAAGATGGCCATTAGGAGCACTCTCCCGTTTTCCACTGCGTTCCTTATCTGACAAGTACTTTGTGATGTTAGTAACTTTTCCCAGGATGTGTGAGATTGCTGGAAGGATGAATCTCAGAGGGCATGGTTAGCTTTCCATCTTCTCAACAGCTCCACCCGCCCCCTCCTCTCCCTCCCTCTCCAGGGCAATCCCTTTCCCTTCCTTGTTCTAGGCTGGGCAGTGATTCCTCTCCCTGAGGTCTCAGCTTCCAAGCAGGCTAACCGTGGAATTTTCCCAACAGAGGAGAGTCTCATTCGTAACAAAAACGATCACACCAGTTGCTAGGAAAAGAACATTTCCCCATTTGTTAAACTAGGAGGAGTATTTGACACCTACCTGGGTCGACAGAGCTCTATCTGACTGACACCTCTGCATCTCATTGATGGGAAAGATTATTTCAAGATGCTTCGGTCTGACAGTCTCCCATTCTTTCCCTCCATGTGGTCCCTTTGAAAGATGTGAGCTGTAAAAAGCAAAAAGCTTCCTAAACAAGTACATGTGTAGAAAAATGTATCTCTGACAGTGGAATATTTTATTTTTTAAATTAATTTTTATTGGAATTTAGTTGACTTACAATACTGTGCTAGTTTCTGCCGTAGAGCGAAGTGAATCAGTTATATACACATATATATCGACAACGGAGACTTTTAACTAATAGACTGTGATGTCTTTTAACTAAGTCTTCTAGTAACGTTAACTTCCAAAGCTTCACATTTATTATTTGTCACATTTTTGAGGTCAGTTGATATTATTATCTTTATTTAAAAGACAGGAGATCTAAGATACAAAAAGATTTGTAATCAGTTACAAACACATGATTATATATTTCTTGGTGTCCTGGCATCATTTCCAAGGTGGTTTCAAACCACAGGTGGCGAATTATGAGCTTTAAAGATCAGCTTTTACAGTACAAATGTCCTTAGTAAAACTCAGAGAAGCCAAAGTCAACATTTACCCCCAAGTAATTCACATTCCAACTCTGGTACTTGAATAACTCCTTATTCAGGAAGTTTTTCAGCGCCACCTGGGGGAGTTCTTACAGTGAAGAACTTTGCTGAAAATGGTCAAGACAGTTTAAGAGTGTAGAAAAGTTATTCAGGTATTCATGGATATGCATTTCTTTTATTTCTTTATGAACCTGTGAAAATCAAATCAATGTAACTCAGTAATTTGGTAGGGGGGCAGCATTATCTGATGTTTGACTATTTTTTGAGTGACTCATAAGTACCAGGCACTATTTTGAGCCACTGCAAAGACATAAAGTTGTGTAAGATAATGTCCCTGTCCTCAAGAAACTTTCAATAGGGAGGCGGTAGTGGTGAAATGATAATAATAATAATAATAACTAACCCTTATGGAGTATTCTATCATAGGCACTCTTCTAAGTGTTTCTCACCTAAAACTTTTACGAGTAGAAAAAGAAAGAGAGATAAGCAATAATAATAGGTAATATTTCTAGAGAATAGGCTTGTGGTTGCCACGGGGGAGGTAAGCAGAGGGAAGGATGATTGGGAGATGGGGATTGGCAGATGCAAACTAGTACATATAGGATGGATGAACAACAAGGTCCTACTGTATAGCGCAGGGAACTGTAGGCAGTGACCTCTGATGAACCATAATGGGAAAGAATGTGAAAAAGAATATATATGTATAACTGAGTCACTTTGTTGTACAGCGTAAATTAAACACAACATCCTAAGCCAACTATACTTCAGTAAAATTTTTTTAAAATTTTAAAAATAGGCAATATTTATTGAGCACTATCACATGCCAAGACTTTCCTAAGTGCTTTACATATATTAGTGCATCTAATTTTCATTTACAGCCTAGAAGGTAAACAGTATATATTTTACAAGCTAATTTAACCGTTACAAGTTCATTAATTTAATTAGGACTTATCACTGTTCCTTTTTGCAGATGTAAACTGAGGTGTAGAGAAAGTGATTAAATAACATGGCCGTGGTTACATATTAGTAAATGGTGGAGCCGGGAGTCAAAATGCTATCACGGGTGCATTTACTTTACAAGAATTCAGCTCATAGGAACTGAGGCTAAGAGGAGAATTTAAATGGGAAGGGCAGTCCCTCTTCTCCTTCTACTCGGCTGTCACTCACTTTGGAGGGAGTGCATTATGGGAGATGAAGGACTGTCCTGTTGGGCTTCTGTGACTCACAGCGTGGGCAGTTCGCCAAGCCAAAGGTGATCCTTGGCGGCTCAGACAGTAAAGAATCTGTCTGCAGTGTAGAAGCCCCAGGTTCCATCCCTGGGTCAGGAAGGTACCCTGAGAAGAGAATGGCTACCCACTCCAGTAGTCTTGCCTGGAGAATCCCATGGACAGAGAAGCCTGGCGGGCTACAGTTCATGGGGTCGCAAAGAGTAGGACACGACTGAGCGACTAACACTCAGAGTGCATTTAGCAGGGTTCTTCCTTTCAGGGCAACTCATCTCGGCTAGGGTACAGCCGTGGATGTCTTTTGATTATGCTGAAAGAGAGTGCTGTTGATCTCGGGAGAACAGTTATTAATCTCTGAATTGCCACCTTCTTAGGAAATTTTGAGAGTTTTTTGCACTATAACTTTTTTGGTCCTTGCTCACTGACTTTGGAGCCTAACTCCTGAGTAAGATGTAAGGTAGGCTTCCCCAGGGGCTCAGCAATAAAGAATCCGCCTGCAATGCAGGAGACCCAAGCTCGATCTTAGGTCCGGAAGATCCCCTGGAGGAGGGTATGGCAACCCACTCCAGTATTCTTGCCTGGAGAATCCCCCCACGGACAGAGGAGCCTGGTGGGCTGCAGTTCATAGAATCGCAAAGAGTCGGACAGGACTGAAGCAACTGACCATGCACACAAGATGTAAGACTGCTGTATACAGTGACAATAAACTAAGGACAAATACTGCGTCATTGAGGAGTTAAGAACCGACAAAAGCTACAGTGAGTCGAAGTGGGGCAAAAATCGTATTTACCTTGGGGAATAGAGATCTGTTGTGAACTCATGAAAAACTTCATAAATTGAGAGGACGTTTGAGGCAGCCCTTGAAGGATCTGTAGCTCTGACAGCCAGCGCAGCAGAGAAGTGAAGTGTAGAGGAGGATCCTGAGTGGAGGCAGAGGGGTGGGAACGTTCAGGGTGTGATCCCCGAGGCCTGTGGGCTGCCCGGGCCGCGCCTCCACCAAGGGAGGTGGTGGGAAGCTGACCTGGAGAGATGCCATGGGTCCTTACACAGAGGCCGCTGTGGAGGAGGGAAGTTTTCCTCTTAGGGTACCTGGCTGGGTCTGAGAAGTAAACCAACACAGCAAGACTGACAGGGCAAAAGCATACACACTTATTTAATATAAATTTTACAGGACATGAGAGTTTTCATACAGAAATGAAGACCCAGAGAAACAGACCAGTGTGCTTTTAGGCTATGCTGGATGAAGAGTAGGCTTTCCTGGTAGCTCAGACAGTAAAAAAACTACCTGCAATGCAGGGGGCTTGGGTTTGATCCCTGGGTTGGGAAGATCCCCCAGAGAAGGGAAGAGCTACCCACTCCAGTATTCTTGCCTGGGAAATCCCATGGACAGAGGAGCCTGGCAGGCTGCAATCCATGTGGTCACAAAGAACTGGACAGGACTGAGTGACTAACACTTTCACTTTTGGATAAGAGTGGACAGTTGAGTATGTTCAGTTAAGGAATGCGAGGTAACTGTAAGAAACTAGGGGAAAGTTAGCAAGGCCTCTGGTTATCATTCCTCTTGGTGTCCCTTTGTCTTTGGAGATAAGGATGCTCCCTTCCTGGGGATAGAGAGGTCACATTTCACAGGAGAGTTTTAGGGTTTGTTTCAGGAAAGAAGGGGTGGGGGAAGAGGAGTCAGAGTGACCTTGCTTCTTGTATTTAATCAAACTCCTTCAGTTTAAAATATTTAGTATGCCAAGGTGCCATATTTTGGGACAGTGTGTTCTGAAACTCACCACCCTCAATGCCAAGTTGAGGAGTTTGTACTCAGAGGTTCTGAGCAACGACATCATCAGGACTATGCTATAGTGAGATTTATCTGGCAGGGATGTATAAAACCAATTGGGATTGGGGATAGTATTAAGCATACTAGTTATAGGTTTAATGCAGTAATCTGGGAAAAACAGAGTCTTGTAGGAAATATTTTGGTTTGCAAAAAATGGAAACCAAAAAAAAGTAAATAAATAAACAAACAAAAAAATGGAAACCAACTTGATGTAACCTAAGCTGAAAGGAGAGTATTATAAGGGAACCAGCACATTTGGAGAACTTTGGGGTAGGTGGACAGCTGGGTCTAAGGTTAATAAACTTTAAGTTCAGTGCTTCTTAACTGACTGCTAAGGAGAACCCAGAATGAGTCTCACCAACATGCTCACATGGATGAGTGTTTTGTAAAATTTGTTAAAGTAAGACTTTTCAACCACAGTTGGTTCAGATCTGTCTTCTTTCTCTACTCACTCATTCTTGTAGTCTGCACCAGCCATTTCTGGCTATTTTTTCTCTTGGGAGAGTATTGGAAATCTGCCTCTACACCTTACCTGAAGCTGCGGACGACTTCAGTATTTTGCTACAGTTACATGTTCTTTTTTCAGGTTCACGTGTCAGATGAACCATCACCAATCCTTAGATGGAGCATTTAAACACACATGCCAACTTATTTCACTTCAGGCTCTCCATATAATAGGACAGTTTCTCCACTGTCAAACTGTTCAAGACTTGTAACATAGGTGCAGTGATAAGATGAGGATTCTAAAAATATGTATTATGAAGATTCAGAAGAGAAACTCATATACAAATGAGTGGTAAAATATTTATTCAAAAGATTCATAAAGCTTGAATGTGCATTTTAACTGTAATTTGAAAAGGCATTTTGGAATATTTCAAGAGAATAAATAAGAACTAGATTCCTGATTTGAACAGATATGAAGAGTACCTTTTTATTTTAAAATTTAAATTTGAAAATTATTGAATTTGTCAATTTTAGATAAATATATTTATTCAGACAAAAATTAAAGGACTATGAGACAAAAGTGATAAAGATGATGGTTACATCAAAAATAGAAATCGAGATCATAATTTCAAAACAAATCAAAGCAAACATTCAAAGGAAAAGATAAATTTGAAAATAAGTAATGAGAAGGTTTTGGATTATACCAGAGTTGACAGGAATGACTCTAGGAATAAATTGGCAAAATATGTAAGTACATGACTGATTTGACATTAAAAAGTGACATCCATAGTGATAACATGATTCATCATCACTACTCACTGAACATCAAATAGCAACTAATTTTTTTTTTTGTCTAAGAGGCATTTAAAAAAATTTTTACTTAAGTATATTGATTTAAAATGTTGAACTAATGTCTGCTATACAGCAAAGTGACTAACTTGTACACATACATATTATTTTTCATATTCTTTTCCATTATGATATAGGATATTGAATATAGTTTCTTGTGCTATACAGTAAGACCTTGTTGTTTATCCATCCTATACATATCAGTTTTCAAATACTGTTTTCAAAGTCAAAGAATATCTAAGATTAGTCACAGTGTATGAAAACTGGAATAAACTAAAATCTTACTTCTATATGAAAGAAATGTGATAGAAATTCCTGCAAATTGAAAACTTTCCTAAAATGTATATATTATCAATAATAAGTTATAAGGCTAACAGAAACATTTCTAAAGTATCAGTAATAAAAACCAAATTTTAATATTCTAAGCTAGAGGAAAAAAATGATCTTTCTATTCTTTCCATGAAATTAATATTGCAAAATCATCATGAAGAAGAGCGTATGTAGCCAATGAATGTAGGAAAATTATTTTATTGGCATATCAAATAGTTAATTAAAAAATAGAGTATATTTTAATTTTCTTTCTCCATTCAGGCAACCAAATAACAATGCAGACACTGTAAGTGGACTCTGGAATTCTCTAGTAGAATGTAAGCCACTTTTATGTTTGTTGACTTGTGAACTGGGCTCCTTCACCTACTTTATTTTTTTCATTTATTTTTATTAGTTGGAGGCTAATTACTTCACAGTATTATAGTGGTTTTTGTCATACATTGACATGAATCAGCCGTTGATTTACATGTATTCCCCATCCCGATCCCCCCTCCCACTTCCCTCTTCACCTACTTTAAATCACAGGAGAGCGCAGGATGGGGAGAAGCCGGCCTGACCCGTCGCCTTAGCCTTGGAGATGCTGCGGAAGAAGAGCAGGAGGAAGCTGAGCAGTGTTGAGAGCAGGGACTCTGGAGCCAGTCTGCTTAGTTTCCATGCCTGGCCCCACTACTCACTTGCTGCTGGTCTTGGAAAAATTGTTCTACACCTTCAGTTGCCTCAACTTCATAATCTGCAAAATGATAACACCTTCCTGACTGTGTTGTTATGAGGATTAAAAAAAGCTTAAAAGAAAATACACATTTGATCTACACTATTACTAGATCTACACTAATCTAAATTTCAAAAGCATTTTGTTGGTATTTAGGACTCTGACCAGGGTTTCCCAGGTGGCTCAGTGGTAAAGAATCCGCCTGCTGATGCAGGAGACATGGGTTTGGTCCCAGGGTTGGGAAGATCCCCTGGAGTAGGAAATGGCAACCCACTCCAGTATTCTTGCCTGGAAAATTCCATGGACAGAGGAGCCTGGCGGGGTGCCAGTCCAAGAGTCAAGAGTCCAAGAGTGCCAGTCCAAGAGTCAAACACAATGGAGCACACACACAGGATTCTGACCACATGTCAGCACAGATATTATCAATTACTATACTAATTCATAGACAGCTGAATATTAATTTGAACCATAGAACTATTTTTGTTTCCCTTTCTCCTTTACATTATGAGAGTGTCCAGTCTTTCATATACATTCACAGTATTTTAGAATTCTCCCCTTCCCATTTATTCCATTCTTTTCTGTCTGGCATTCACATTTCAATTATGGTTCTCCTGTGACCTTTTATCCTCCATATTGATTGGATTCTTATCCCGGCCTTAAATTCCCCTTTCTTTTTGCTTAGCAGTCAGTGTCATCAGCAGATAATGGAAAGTCTACTCAGACACAATGAGACAGACAGGAAGAACAGGATATAGGAGCCACAGGCCAGAGTACAGAGAAGATGTTGGCAACCAGAGGAAAAGGGAGTGTCTGGAGAGGCAGATAGGGAACACAGCCAGAAACATTCAGCTGTCTGCAGCAGTGCCTGCTGCGTTAGGCAGAGCAGGGATGCCAACAGAGGTGAGCAGGGCTGCAAGGTTGGGGCCCTGCCCTACGAATTTGGGGGGAATAGGACAGGAGGCTGCTGTCAAGGCTGAAGCAGAGGGCAATACTTTTCATCCTTGATGTTTGGACAAGAACAGTTGAAACAAGGTTGCATTTTAGGTGTATTCAGTGTTAGTGGTTGAGAACACAGGCTCTGGAGGAGTAAATCTCCAATTGCACTATCTACTGCATAACGTTATAAAAAAATTTTTTTTTAATGTTTTTGCCATGCAACATGCAGGATCTTAGTTGCATTCCCTGCAATGGAAGCATGGAGTCTTAAACACTGGGCCACTAGAAAAGTCCCTCTACTATGTAACTTTGAACAAGTGGCTTAATCTCTCATACCTTCAACATGAACTATAGTATGGGATAATTATACAGAATTCATAAGATTAATGAACACAAAGTATCCAGTTGTATGTATACTAATAGGAGCCAATATTATTGTTATTATTATATCTATCTAATCTAACAATAATATATCATGTATAATAATAATAATGTATTATTATCACTGCTGTTATTTACTACAAATATGATGCTACCCATTCTGATTAGCTGACCATAGGAAAAACCACCAGAGAAGAAAGTAAATAAATAATGGGATAAACATGGCTTTTGGTGTGCTTTTCTAATCTTCAGGGTGATCCAGGAAATGAATGGAAAGAAAAATTTCTACTAACTCATTTTATCTTAGTAGCATGAAAGAAACAGCTAAGTGTCTTTGAAAACTAGTCAGCCTGAAGATATGGCAATTTATTTCAGATCTTTCTCCACGGAAGACATTTATCTTTGTGTTTTAATTAACTACTATAGCATTTATCCTGAATTTTATTAAGAAATCAATTTCATTCAGAAACTTTTCTTGCTTGCTTTGCTTCAGTCGTGTCTGACTCTTTGCAACCTTACGGACTGTAGCCCACCAGACTCTTCTGTCCTCGGGATTCTCCAGGCAAGAATACTGGAGCAGGTTGCCATTTCCAACTCCACCAAATCTTCCTGACTCAGGAATCGAACCCACGTCTCTTGTGTCTCCTACATTGGCACGCAGGTTCTTTACCACTAGTACAACCTGGGAAGTGCTAAATCTGAAACTTTAAAGATTAAATATAATCCTAAATCACTAATAAAATATCTTCATATACATTTCACTTGAACTTTTAATTTTATGGGCTTCCCTAGTGGCTCAGATGGTAAAGAAACTGCCTGTAATGCAGGAGACCTGGGTTCAGTCGCTGGGTTGGGAAGATCCCTGGAGAAGGGAATGGCAATCCACTCCAGTATTTTTGCCTGGAGAATTCCATGGAATTATTTAACTTAATAATAAAGATAAGGAGGCAAAATCTGCTTACAAAAATTGGTTTTACCATTGAAAATATTAGAAATCCTAACCAGAATAAAGTGTAATCCATGCTAAATACTTCAAATATTTTTAAAAACTAATAAAATATTCCTTGAAAGTAATTTATTTTTATTTTTTTGAAAGTAATTTATATGTGGTTAGAATGAATACAATGCTTCCAACTAAAGCACTGTTTTAAAGAGAAGACTGCTTTGTAGGTATATCAAGAACTCAAGTTATGAAACGATTTTAAGTACTTATTTTACAAGAAAATAACATGGTAAAACATGGAAAATACATGGTAAAATTACACATGTAACTCAAGAGGATTTGGTGTCCATTCTATATTAAAAACTTTACACTTTCTGCTTATCTGGTTGCATTTGATGGTACAAATTTCATTCTTAAGAACTATTTAATTGAATTATGGAAACAACATGTTCCTCCAAAATTATTTTGGTTTTCATCATTCTCTCAGGCAGGCCTATTATAACTTGATTAACATACAATGTTTAAGAGATTCTGACTTATAAAAGGCAAGATGGTATCTAAAACAAAACATGAGTTTGGGGACTGGGTTCCTCTGCAGACACAGAATATGGGAGAGTTATGAATAATTATCTTTGGAGATGCCCAGAAAGGGTTGGTTGGAGGGATGGATACAGGAACTCACCAACACCAGAGTATAACTGGACAGTTGCCCAGAACCCCTTACTCTTTAAAGAGACAAGAGAAGAGATTTTTCTGACTGTTCTTATAAAGTTTACATAATTGTTGGTAACCTGTGATTTGCCCACCTGCAATGAGGGAATCCAACAAGTTTAAAACCTATGTCAGTCACTCAGAATTCACTACTGTGTCAGGGCCTTGCGATACCTGGCTTCCAGCATGGCCCTAGTGATGTTCATCTTCTGGTGTTATGTCCTTGTGTAGTGCCATCCCACGTTGAGTTAGGAGTAGTCTGTATGACCAGTAGAATACTGGTTAGAAAAGGCAGCATGGCACTCCTTTGTTCTCTTGGATTATTCACTTTGAAAGGGAATGGGGCCTTATTTAATCAACTATAACTCATAGTGCTCAAGTATTTGCCCCAAAATGAGAATTTTCAATTTGGGAGGGACAAATCATTTACAGGCTACCACTTGGAGAATTTAATCTTCTCCTTCATTCCTCATGCTGATTACCACTTCCACCCTTAAAGCAGGTGCTAAGGGGTCCTTCTCCCATTTAACATTCTGATATAAAAGTGATGATAGGGAATTCCCTGGTGGTCCAGTGGCTAAGACTGTGCTCCTGATACAGGGGGGCTGGGTTCGATCCCTGGTGAGGGAACTAGATCCCACATGCCACAACTAAGACTCTACGCGGCCAAATGAATAAAAATAAATGTTAAAAAAAAATAAAAAAATAAAAGTGATGATAATCTCTTCTTATTTCACCTATCATATTGAAGGCAGGCTGAAGAGTCTAAAAGTGGTCTTAAAAAGAGATTTTCTTAGTGAAAACAAAAGGGAAACAGAAAAGTATGTAAAAAAAGAAAAAGTACAAAATTATTCTACCTAGTATACATATAATCTTATTAATATTTGGTCTCTATATATACAGACCAAATCTGTTCCTAACTTAGAAATCAGGGCTTTGTTGCACACTCTTTAATATGTCATGTTATAGTCATGGAGATAACAGTAGTACTGAATACTAATTCCTTTCAAATATAAAATATGGACAATAGTGAACTTATGCTCAGGCGCTTAAGTCGTATCCAACTCTTTGTGACCTCATGGATTGTAGTCCACCAGGCTCCTCAGTCCATGGGATTTTCCAGGCAAGAATACTGGAGTGGGTTGCCATTTCCTACTCCAGCGGGTCTTACCAACCCAAGGAATGAAACTGAGTTTCCTGCATTGCAGGCCAATTCTTTACAGTTCCCTTAAGTGATAGGCTATTTTACAGGAAATAGGGCATTAGAAATACTGCCCTAGAAAGGATGCTGTTTAATGTATGAAAGATTTGAATGTTATAGGGAAAGTCGTTCAGTTGTGTCGGACTCTTTGCGACAGCATGGACTATACAGTCTATGGAATTCTCCAGGCCGGAATACTGGAGTGGGTAGCCTCCTCCAGGTGATCTTTCCAACCCAGGGATCAAATCCAGGTCTCCCGCATTGCAGGCAGATTCTTTACCAGCTGAGCCACAAGGGAAGCCCTTGAATGTTGTAAGACTTTATAAATTCTTTAATTTAGAAAAGTGGCAAGAGTCGCTATGTTTTAAAACTCAGGAATCTCTAAAACTTCATCAGAGTTCAGAGGATCTCTTTGACCCTGTTTGCTATCCAGATTTCCCCTATGTTTAAAGCAAAAATCTCTTAAGAAAAAAGTATCCACAGTTGCTTTTTCGGATAGGAAAGAATCCTCTCGCAACCCTCCTGGCATCCCAGTAAATATACAGGCATTATTAAATTTAAAAAAGAAAGAGAAGATCATTAAACTTCTCGCTCTTCAGAGACTTCTATCAGAGGGCCTCCTATGATTCTTTGAAGTTTGAGCCTTACTGTAGCGTTATTTCCACGGTTCCCACGTTACTTTCAAGAACAGCTATTTCTTATAATCCTCAGGTTTTTTCCTTCGCTCAGGACTGACGGTGGAGCCTCAAACAGAGTGACTGGACCTGGGAAACGAACCAGCTGAACACTGTGCCGGGTCCATCGGAGTGCGGCTGCAGGAGCCCGGGAGGGGACCAGAATCGGTCCCCACGCGCACTGGGATAGTCTCGGTTCTTTGTTGAATAAACACAAGAAAACGCGGCTTCTGCCAAGCGTGTTGGTGGGGGAATAGATTGAGGCGTTTATATGCATAACTGTGCGTAAGAAAGATCATTAACGAGGCGCTACAAACGCAGTGCAACCCTGGGCACCGTGTCAGGGGCTTTTGTGTACTTGGAGGCGCGTGAGTGCCCTGCTCAGAGATTCCTCTTTGTGTGAAAGGGGGGAAACCAGAAGCTCTCCGCTACAGCTGGGTTTTCCTTTTCTTTCGAATTCGCAGGCTCCCAAATACTCCCGCACCAACACTCTCCCGCATTTCCGCACCGACAATCCTCAGACTTCAGTTACTTCTTCGTCCGTCGCCGACCGAGCGAGGAGCGACAATGGCTCGGTGCGGGCATCCGCAGCTCCCCGGGGCCAGAGCCAGGGGACGGCCCGCCGCGCTCCGCAGCTGCGCGCTGAGCCCCGCCGCCCGCCCGTCAGCAAACGCGGGCACCAACCGTCGCGCGGCCCGGCCGTTGGGCGGGTGGTAATTTCTGGGAATGGGGCGGGGTCCGCGGTGTACAAGGCCGGGCGTTTGCAGGCTAGCGGGAGGAGGAGGAGCAGGCTGCGCGGAGGGGCGCGGGCAGGGAGGGGCGTGGCTCCCCGGGCGTCACCGGCCGGGGAGGCACCGGGGGCGGGGCCGGCGGCGCGCTCCGGCCCGCCCGCGCCCCCGCCTTCCACTTAGTCCAGGCTTCGGAGTGGAGATGCTGGAGACCCGGGCTAGGAGTTTCCATAACCTCCGGCCCTCAGTGACTGTCAGGCTGCCCGAGGGCCGGGCCGTCCCTGCAGAAGGGCGGGAGTCCAGAGCACGGGGATGGGGTGACCGCCCGGGCCCGCGGGGGCCCTCAGAGAGGGGGCAAGGGCGTGTGAGTGCGGTCCGGGCCGGCAGCCGCTGCAGGTGCACGCGCGGCCCCGCTGCCCCCCACGCGCCGGCCCGCGTTTGGGAGCCCCCGCGCCAGTCCCGGGCCGGGGTCGGAGTCGGGAACAGGCTGGCCAAGGCGCCGAGCAGGAAGCGGGACAAGTGGCGAGAGTCTTTACCTGAGAAGGCGGGCTTGGGAGAAGTTGGGGGGCTACAGGGCGGGCGAGACTCGAGACGGCCACGGAAGCACGTTGGGCGGGCTGGTGCTCGGCGGTTAGGGGGTCGGTGAGGCGGCGCGGGCGGGGGGCTCTGCGCGGGGCGGCGCGCCGCTGTTTTGTCTCCTCCTCTCCCAGTGGAGCGGCTCGGGCAGCCGGGGAGGCCCCGGCTCCCTCCGGACGCCGCGGCGGCGGCGGCGGCTAGTCCGCGGCCCTGCCGGGAGGGAAAGCGACGCGGCGGTCTTCCCGGGCGACGCGGAGAGCAGGTAAGAGCGCGGGCCGCCGAGGCTGGTGGGAGGGAGGGAGCGCGGAGGGTGCGGCGAGAAAGGCTTGCCGTCCCGGGTGCCACCGCCTCTCTCCGCGCCCCCGCCCGGCGCCTGTGTTGTTTGCTCCGGGGTTTGCGGAGGGTTTTCCGGAGGCTGTGGCGGTGACACCGGCCGGGAGCTGGGAAAGGGGGCTGAGTGCCCCGGGGCAACGGTCGGGGAGCTGGACTTAGAGAAAGGGGAAGGCGCGCGGCGCGCCCGCCCGCGAGGAGCGCGGGGCGCGGAGCAGGGCTGAGGGAAGAGGTTACAGACCCCGGCGCGGGGGATGGGCCGCGCGCAGCTGGTCTGGCTGTGTTTACATCGCCGCGCGAGTCACCTCTGCCGAGAAGCGGACTGAACTGACCCGCCTTATCCCGCGAGGAGGCCGGGGCGGGGGTCCGGCCCTAGAGGAAACGCGTCCTGGGAGGGTCGGGTAAGGCGGGAGGCGGCGGCCGGCGCCGGGGCAGGGCGGCGAGCCCGGGGCGGGACCCGGGAGGCTGCGGCCGCGTGGAGTGGCGTGGACGGCTGGGGAGCAGTTTCCTCCGCCGTCGGGCCTCCTAGCCGCCTCTTACCTTTCCTGCCCTCTGCGGCTAGCTGGCACGGCAGGTTGTACTCGGTCATTCTTTTATTCTCTCTCTCCACCCCGGCCCCCCGCTGCCACTTCCCCCTGTTCCCGCGGGAGTGGGGAGGCTGGGCTCTGACAGGAATCTGGTTTTTAAACAAAACAAAAACGGGCTCGGTAACACGCGCGTCCAGTGACCGCCTTATGGAGCCTCTCTTCGTGAAGCTGGCCCTCAGGGACCGTGTTCCTGGATGTTGGAGGGTGGGGGGGACGCGGCAGGAGGACGGGGAAGGCTTGGGTAGGGCTGGAACTGACTGCCTGAGCAGCTTTCCTAGCTGGGCATCCGAGTCCCCTCTCTACTCTACTGGGGCATTTTTATTGCATGTCAGTAGAGGACAGAGAAAATATTCCATTACCCCAAGAGTGATCTAGATCGAATCGTTACTAATGTTTCTCATGTGCCAGCATCCTGGGCTCTTTTTTTGTAGGAGCTAGCTACGCTGCAGAATAGCCTTTAAGTTCATAGTACTTCATGAAAGAAGTAAGAGGCGAACACTTGATTGTACAACTGTGAATTTCACCCCCTATCTTGTGTTTAGCAACATTTATTTCAACTGTGTGGTTTAAATTTTAATCCGGTGATGATAGAACAGTAATCTGGTGTTTAGTAATCAGACTTGCCTTTCTTTTTAACTGTGAGTCTGTATCGTGAGATAAATTATGCACTTTGTCTAGTGCTGTGGTCACAGAATAGTGCCAGAATGCACAGAAGAATGTCTTCTTTACAAAGATAGGATTGGATATTTGAATTTCAGAATTTCTTCTTTTCTTCAGAAGGTAGAATGACATTATATAAGGCTGGAAGCTGATTGCATTTAAAAGGGTTTAGGAATAAGGTCTAAATATGATGTAATAGTTTACAAAGTGAGTTTATATGAGTATTACTGAGATAGCTTCTAAAAACATGAAATAGGAAATTCATATATCTTGGGCATTTGAAATTGGACAATTTAATGTCAGTATTTTTTTAAACTTAGTGATTGAACTAATTGATAAATGATTACTTTTCATTTCAGACATATATACTCATTTACAAAATAATCACAGTAGGTTGGAAAGAATTTGTAACTTTGAGATTTTTCTATCCTAAGTAGATAGATTGGAACTGTGGCTGTGGTAGGTTCTTATCAGTGTTGATGGCTTTACCTGCTCACAGATTGTACACCAAGGTTTATTGTCCTTGATGATAATAACAGCTTTGAGATATAATTAACCTACCATTCAATTCACCAACTTAAAGTGTACAGTTCAGTGGTTTTTAATATATTCACAGAGTTGTGAAACTATCACCATAATCAGTTTTAAAACATTTTCATTATCCCCGGAAAGGAACCTCATACCCATCAACTGTTACTCTCCATTTTCCTCCAAAACCCTCAGCCTTAGGCGAGCACTGATTACCTTCTGTCTCCATTCTGGACAGATTACATAAATGGAATCTTACAATGTGTGATCTTTCATAACTGCTTTCTTTGACTTAGCATAATGTTTTGAGAGTTCATTCATGTTGTAGCATGTGTCATTATTTCATTTCATTTTTATTGCTGAGTAATATTCCATGGTATGGATGGATATACCACATACTATTTATCCATTGATTAGTTGATAAACATTAGAGTTTCTACTTTTTAGCTATTACAAGCAATGCTGCTATGCACATTTTTCTACAAGTTTTTGTGTGGATATGTTTTCATTTCTCCCGGGTATATACAGTTTTTTTTAAAAATTAGTTTTTTGAGTTATTTAATACCCCAAATTAATTCTGGATGCAAAATTTAATAATTTGTTAGTAAATATATTAAGTTGTTAAATTATCACCACAAGCCAATTTTAGAACATTTTATCACTTATAAAAATTCTTTCTAGTCTTTTTGCAGTTAAGCCTTATTCTCACTCTTGGCCCCAGTCAACTACTGGTCTGTATTTTGTTTCTATAGATTTTTCTTTTCTGGGTATTTCATGTAAATGGAAACATAGAATATGTAGTCTTTATCATCTGGCTTCTTAACATAATGTTTTGAGGATTCATCCATATTGTAGCATGCATCAATATTTTGTTCCTTTTTATTGCTGAATAGTATTTTGACGTATGGATATACCATATTTTGTTTATCTGTTGACCAGTTGATGGGCATTTGGATTGTTTCCAGTTTTTGACTGTTGCAAATAATGAAGCTTGAAAGTTTAAGTCTTTAGTGTGGACATATGGTTTCATTCTCTTGGATAGATGCCTAGGAATAGAATTTCTGGGTCATCTAACTTTTTGAGAAACTGCCAAACTGTTTTTGAAAGTGGCCACATTTTATATTCCTATCAACAGTGTATAAGAGTTACAATTTGTTCATACCTTTGCCAACACTTGTTATTGTCTGTTTTGTTACAGCCATTGTACTATGAAATGTTTAACTCTTTGTGATTTTAAATAGCAGTTTTCCTAAAGATGCAAAGTGTTAAGCATTTTTTCATATGGTATTCATATATCCATTTAGGTGGAAAAAGCCATTCAGATCTTTTGCCTGTTGTTGAATTATTATTGACGTGAAAGAGTTTTTATAATACATTCTGGATGCAGGTCCTTTCTTAGATACATGATTTTACAAATATTTTCTCCCAGTCTGTGGCTTTTCTCTCTCTCTTTAATGGGAGCCTTTTGAAGCACCAAAGTTTTAATTTTGGTGGAGCTTAATTTCCCAATTTTTCTTTTATAGATCATACTTTTGTTGTTTCAAGAATTCTACCTCATCCAAGAGCTTAAGGATTTCTTTTTGTTTTCTTCTAGATATTTTATAGATTTTGCTCTTAGATTTATGATATATTTTGAGTTAATTTTTGAGTATGGTACAAAATAAGGGTCTAAATTCACCTGCTGTATGTGGGAAGATCCTCTGAAGGAGGAAATGGCAACCCACTCCAGTATTCTTGCTTGGAGAATCCCATGAACCAGAGGAAGCTGGCGGGCAATGGCCCATAGGGTCACAAAGAGTTGGACATGACTGAAGCAACTTAGCACGCACATAACGGGTTGTCTTAACACCATTCGTTGAAAAGATCGTCATTCCGCATTGCTTGTAAATGTAAAGATTTAATTCCGGACTTGCAGTTCTGGTTCATTATCTGTATGTCTGTCCTGTGCTAGTACCTCTCTGTCTCCATTGCTGTGCTTTATGGTAATTTATGAAACCAAGTAGTGTAAATCCTTAAATTTTGTTATTTTTTAAAATTGTGGCTATTCTGGGTTATTCTGGGTTACATGTAAAGTTTAAAAATTTGACTTGTCATTGTCTGCAAAAAAATGTTTTGGAATTTTGATGGGGAATGCACTGAATCTGTAGATCAGGTTGGGATGAAATTGCTGCCTTACAATATAAATTATTATTATTT